TATACAGTGCGTTTATCTTAGATTGGAACATACGATTTTGCATGCAATGTTATTTCCCTATGTTCCATTTTAAAAAAAACGCATCAACCTGAAGGATATGCGCGGTTCACAACTAAAACAAACGTATTAGAAATTTGCGAGTCACATTTGAACCAGCCTTTATTTTTAGGTTATGTACGTGTACGGTCGAAAGTCGAAGAAAAATTGTTTAATAATAAATAAAATGAATTTAATTATAAGTTATAACAAATGTTCAAAGTGCCCTCCTTCACATTCCAAGCAGTACCCTAACCGATTGCGAAATTCCTGAATACTATTTCGTAAAAACGTAGGATTCATTTGATCACATGCTGTTAGTATTCGGGTTTGTAACTCTTGCACATTCTGAATGGGAACATGATTATAAATTTTCGATTTTAGATATCCCCAAAGGAAAAAGTCATTTGGCGACAGATCGGGAGATCGTGCTGGCCAAGTGCCAAGATATTGGACCAAATCTACCGATCCAACGGCCCGGGAATGTTTCATTGAGGAAACTTGTCACTGGTCTCGTAGAATGTGGTGGAGCCCCGTCCATTTGAAACCATGGGTTGTTTATATTCAACTCCTGTAACCGTGGAATAATGCGCGATCTAAGTAATTCGAGAAACTTTGTTGAATTTAGAGTTCCATCGATGAAGAACGGTCCGATTAGAATATTGTTTATTATCCCGGCCCAAACGTTAATTTTAATATTATATTGCGTATGCGTTATGTTGTGTACATGATTATTAGTTTGTGACCAATATCTAATGAAGAAAACGGTATCAGTAAGATTTAATATGGAGATAGGTACCTACCGATAGTTTTGAGAATTTACTGTACCGTTCAGAGAAAAAGATGCTTCATCTGTAAACATTATTTTGTGCAATATTTCCTCATTATTGTTTAACAAATTAAATATTGTTTCGCAAAAGTCTGTGCGTTTTATTTTATCATCATCAAACAGTTGTTGGTGATTTTGAAATTTGTACGACTTGTATTTAAATTTCTTTAGCGTTTTAAACACGGAAGTTCTAGAAATTTCAAATTCCTTGGCCATTAAACTTAGTGATGCTGTTGGGTTTTCTTCAGCATAGCACAAAATTTCTAATTCCAATTCTTCATTAAGGACATGGTTAATTTTTGCCTTTTTTGTGTGAAGATTTGCAACACAGCCATCCCTATCAAATTTTGCTATAACTCTGTGGATCGTTGAAATGGATGGTATTTGTTCGTCAGGATACTGGACTGCAAGTAAATCGCGGACTTGTCTTGTACTGTTTAGGCCTTTGTATAAATTTATAATTGCAATTTTCATTTCTTTAGGCAGCATTTTTGAATTTATTGCAGGGCGGTAGATTTAAAGGTGACAGTAGTACATTGCGCCTACTACCCATTTGAACTACTCCTTCAGGTTGATGCGTTTTTTTTAAAATGGAACATAGGGAAATAGCATTGTATGCATAATCGTATGTTCCAGTCTAAGATAAACTCACTGTATAAATAGAAATATATATATTATATTATCATTGTTAATTATGGAGACTCGTAAACAGTACGAGATACAAAGCGGCTCAAATTAGCAAAGTTATGCAGAATTTTATCTGATTAATTTTCCCTTTTAAACTTTCTTATGGGTCTACAAATAGCGAAGTTATGACAAAACAAACCGAAAAATATGATTTTCGAGAATGAGCGGGCGTTCATTTATTTTCACAGATGTCAAAAAATAATTTGGCAACATTGTGAAACATCAGTGCTTTCATCACACTGAATTGCATAAAAACGCGAATTTGCCGAATTGTAGATACCTTGAAAACTATTTTAAAGTAAATATTTGCCTCAAACACTTCAGGGATTTCGCGCCGCTCAGTTTGAGAATCACTGGTCTAGTGGGTAGGACACCCGACTTGCACCTACGCGGCTCGGGTTCGACTCTTGGGTACGAAAAATGATTTTTTCACAAAAATGCGTACCCAATTCAGCGGAGTTGGACATTCGGTTATTTGTACGTTTAGACTTCTTTCAATTTAATTTGAACGCGATTAAATTGAAAGAACCAATCAGATGCGTAACCGTAAGAGAGAGCTTGCCCTCTTAGTTTTCCATTTTCTCTCACCTACAGTATCCGTGCTTGGCATTGGGGCGCGCGATCCATTTATTATATGTTGATGGTCATAACAATCGTATGACGTAATATAACCTAACATTTCGATTAAAGTAAGTGAATCTTCTATTAAGATTGTGGAAAATGTAGGGCTTCTACCGCAAATTTTTTTTGTTGAAAACGCCAAATTAAGATACCATTTTTATTCATTTCATGATTGTAGCTTGGGGTCGGTATAAAGTCATATACCTACCCACCACGGTACATCCATTCACACCTAACAATAGAATAGATAGAATTTATTACTGTTTAGGTTCTTTTAATTTACAATTGCCGCTCTCAATTGCTGTATAATCTGTATCATATGCGATTTTTTATCAGCGAGTCTGCAACTTTTGATTCTTTTATACGTGGCACGTCTAATTTTACGCTGCTCGATCTTATAGCCAAATGAGGGTCAATGTGTCCGTTTTCGCAACAATATTTTCAGGAATGTTCGTTCTTTACGAGCCCTCATTTGCGGCGCTTTTTTAACAATCTGTACCTTGCTCTATTTAAGAGCTTTGTGTTTTCGTTACTCTGCAGCTAAATTGAATGTTTTCCGAAAATCATTTTTATCTATTCGTCAAAACCCTCTTTTTGTTATCAATGTAACACCCGGTATGTCTAGGAATCGTTTGCGGCCTTTTTGGTTTCACGGATTGTCCTATACAGGGTGGTGACTTGCGTAACGCATCATAGGGATTTCAATGTAAAATTCATAACATGCGATTATTGGCTCCCCAAATTATTTTAGAGCAAAAATGTATTAAGGTTTTTTGTAGGAAAAAATTTTTTACGTCAATCAACCCTATTAGTTTTCAATTTTTTGCATTATAAAGACGGAAAATTGGAAAATAAAACCCCCATCTTTTTCAATAATCTGTGATGCCATGGAATTTTATAATACAAAAACTACGCCAATATCCGTCATGCCATGGAATGTCTGCTATAAAACAAAAACTATCAAAAAGTATTATATTTAGAACAGCGAATTCAACAGAAAGAAAGACCAAATTACTAAAAACGGTTTCCTAATATAACAATTTACAATAAATGTTCGAATAAGTCACCATTAACCACAATACAGTAACCAAGTCGATCATAAAATCCATTTCGAACTGCTGCTAATTGATATGTGGATATCTTTTTGTTTTAGAAAATTCCATGGCATCGCAG